GGAGGGCAGGGCACTGGGAGCACCAGGGAGTTGTAGGTCGGGAGTGAGGGACACCAACAGGGATGGGGAGGCTATGGGTTGGGAGTGAGGGACACCAGCATGGCCCAGGGGGGTGGGGCACTGAGGTTTGGGAGTAAGGTGCACTGGCAGGGCTGGGGTCTGTGGGTCAGGAGTGAGAGGCAGCAGTAGGGCTGCGGGGGCACTGTGGCTTGAGAGTGAGGGGCAAAAGAATGGGCAGAGGCAGGGCACCACTATATCACTGCCCTTCTACAATCATATACTCCTCACGCCCTGCGTGACAGGTGTCCTCCTTTTTGGAACTGGAAATATGGTAACCCTACTTAAACTCATTACAAGAATGAAGGTGGTTGAGAAAGAATGAGAACTTCCTTCACAAGAGTGCCAGCTTTTCAAACATAAATTGGTTGTTTTGCTCTAAGAATAAATTGGCAGGTTCAAGTGGGAGCAGTTCTCTACCAGATTAACTACTTTTTCCTAATCACAAGTAACTAATTTCAAACACATTAATGCACTGTTATAATTCTTATTACATATGAGTTGTCACATATTTGGCATCAACAGCCTTGTGACTCTCAGAAAAAAAAAATATTATCTGAACACTGTGAAACAAAACCAAAAATATTAAAACTTAACACTTGAGGTTTAACTCATGCAATTTGGAATCAGGAAGCATAAGGGAGACAGGAACATTAAAAATGTAAAATACTGTGCGGGGGGAGGGGGCAGAAACCGAAATTCAACCAGTTTGGGGGGACTTGGTTAGGAACCTAACATTATAAGAGTTTGCAAAGAGAGGTAAGTCAGCTGTGTTAGTCTGAAGCCAGGAATTAATTTCAAGTAACTTTTCCATTCTCACACAAAATTCTGTGTTCTGTCATATCAGCTGGGAATTCCTATAAACATTTCTAACACTGTGAAATTCACGGTGTTGGTGATCACTTTTAAAGCTTCTGAATTTTTGGATCCCAATAATCTATAATTACTCTAAACAAATGGTGTCAACATTTTTCACCCAGAAGGCAATGCCTGATCTGTCCAGGGGCCAGATCCTGATGTAGCTCCCAGAGTGCGCAGGAGGAAGCAGAGACCCAATCCAACCACATGGGGAGAAGAGGGCATGACCCAGCCCCAACCAGCCCAATGGGGGATGGCAGGAGAGCATGGCCCAGCCCCAAGCCTCCTGGAGAAGGGGGCATGGCCAGGCCCCAACTCGATCCCATGGTGGTGGGGGGCCTTCCCAGCCCTGAACCAGCCATGCTGGAAGTGGGGAGGGGCAGGGAGAGGAAGTGGGAGGGGGGCATGGCTTGGCCCCAACCCAACCACACAGAGGGGAGGGGCATGGCCTGGCCCCAAACCAGCCACACGTGAGAGGGGGGATGTGGCCTAGCTCCAAACTGGCCACGAGTGGGGCTTGGGAATCTGGCAGTCAGGGGAGAGTGGCAGTATTGCCAGTGTTCCCCCACTGCTAAATATGCCAACACCTTGTGAGCCCTGCAGGCCAGATGTCACAGCTCTGTGAGCTAAATCTGGCCTGCAGGCCAGAAGCTGAGCACCCCTGCTCTAAATTCCATGTTAACACAACTGCTAGCAGCTGGAATATTCTATTACAGCTAATTATCCAAAAGTATCAACAAGTCTTTTTTTAAAGGAGGGTGTCAGCCTCTGCAATTTACTCCTCCTAATCATCTGCTAAAACTGCAGAATTATACAACTCAAAGTGCAAAAAGATTTCTTAGATGTGGTACTTTTACAATTTAAACTTTGTACGTTATTATCTGGTAGTTAATAATCACAAGTCGTTCCTACCCTTATCCTCAGACTCCCTCCACTATAGGCTCATTCTCATTGCCCTGGTCTCCTCTTCTTTTTCTTTCCATCCTTTTCTGATTTTACCTTGTCTCTCTACTCTTACATTTCCATTTATTCATTCCTACTGCCATTTCCTCAAACCCTGCCCTGCAATATATAAAAAAAACAGCGGAAAAAGAAAAATTTTTATTCACTCATTAATATTTTAGTAAAAGCTAAAAACATTAACATAAACCATTAAAACATAGTTTTCTTTGTGTGAATTGTTTTATATTTTCATATATGCTGTATCAAATGGTTTTGTTTTTACCAAGACCCCTTCTTCCTCCTGGAACCATTTGCCATGTCTGCAGATCAGCCTCCTCAGCCATCTCCAGACTCACCCCTATTTACTAAAAGACTCTTCTCCTCATATTGAAAGAATGCTGTAACAGTCAAACATTTATTTCACCCACTTCAGACACTCAATCTTGTTTCACATAAAAACATTTAAGAGATAATGAAACAACACAAAATTCACACAAAGCATCAGTTACGTTTAGTATACTGAACTCTGCAGAGTTAAATTAACAATTACCTTAATACTGTCGGGTAGAGTTCTGAAGTATAAATATACACTATGTTGAAGGCAGCACTGACTGTCATTTTTCCACACAATGCTAATGAAGTTGGACTGAAGAATAAACCTTTGGAAGAGAAAAAAAAATAAATTAAGTGGAAGTCAAAAGAAATATTATATTTATGACATTAAATTTAAAGCATGAGATTGCAAATTTAAAGCATGAGCATGTTCATGAGATTGAAACACAAATGTAGCATATTGACCGTATACTATAGCACTAACTACCCCCAAAATCTACGGGAGTAAGAAATAAACATTCTTCACAAAACTGCTCAAAATTTGTATCAAGTCAGATTATGTCTTCAACTGAAATAACTGTGTCATTAACATGTAAAATGAAACAGTGAACCTTCAATTTCTTTTGTAAGTTGAATATATTTCTGCAGAAATTCTAGGAATGTGAAAACAGTTACAGTTTGTGTCAAGCTCAAGGTTAATACAACAAGCATCCAATTGCTAGATGCAAATACAGAGACCTGGTCTTCCTAAGAGTTCTGCTTAGTGTCAGTAGAGGATTTGGGCATTGTTTTTTTTTTTTTTATGATCAAGTAATCAAGAAGCAGGTACTAGTGACAACAGAGATTTTTAATTCATCAGTCCATCTAAAAACTTTACTTACTGTTTCTTTCAACACTTTGCATTAATTCTCTATGTGGACACTTTTAATGTACACTAAGACCATCTTTGAGCAAGGGAGCTTATTCCACTTGAAAGTGAAGTGTGGACTAAGCTACCTTGTTCTTACTGAGTACCTGGGATCTAGGTTCTCCATTTGCCAAGGAAAAACATGGATTTTATTTTAGAGGAGAAAAACATGGGAAACCACAGGTTTCCCCTTGCAGGCTGGCAGAGCTTCAGCCTGCAAGGGGATGCTTGGGGCTGAGGGGAGCAAGGCACAGGGAGTGCCATGTGCATGTGTGGACATGCACACATGCAAGTGGCCAGCAATGCAGGCAGGCAGCGGTGGAAAGCAGCTCCCCCAGCTGTCTTCAGGTAAGTCTATGGAGGGGGGCATAAGTGACGCATGCTAGGGCACAGGATGGCAGACTGAGGCATCCACAGTGCGGAAGGGAGTAGAACAGGTTGGCAGCGGGGGCTGGGGGCGCTGCCCAGACAGGATGGTGCCCAGGGCTGGGGCTGGAATGTGCAGCCTTGGGGTCTGGCTGGGGGTGCGGGATGGACCCACAGGCAGCTGGTCCAGGAGGCTGGCGTACACTGACTCCCCGCTGCTGTGTGCATTCCCAGGGAGAGGAGCATGGGGGTGGGGCCTGTGCCTCCCAGATTTGTGCATGGGATGGGGAAGGATGCAAGCTACCCATCACATGGCTTGGGCTTTCCACCCTAGTTCCCTCCCCCCGGGGGCCTCCATGGCCCAGAGGGTGGTACCTGGCACAGAAGGGCATTGGGAGCCCTGCTCCAGCCATGACACCAAGGTGAGGCACCCCCTGCCCACCCAGCAGCACCAGTGTGGCACAACTCTAGATGTTGCCAACCCCATTGCTTCCGAGAGGGCAAGGGACAGCCCAGGGAAGCTGTGGACCACCAAACCATGTGGCACCCACAAGGACAGCCCAGCCTGAAGAAAGAGAGCATTGGGAACCTGAAAGCCATGGGGAGGCCAGCACTACGACACAGGTAAGAAACGAGAAGGTAAGAAACAAAGGGCCCCTTGGGACTTGGAGCGGGGGGGCAGCAAAGGCACCAGTCGCAGGGCTCAAGTGCCTATATACTAATGCTAGGAGCATGGGGAAAAAGCAGGATGAACTAGCGCTCCTGCTTGCACTAAACCCCTATGACTTAGTGGGGCTAACGGAAACCTGGTGGGATTCATCCCACGACTGGGCAGTACATATTGAGGGCTATAGATTGTACAGAAAGGACAGGGTGGGGAATTCCAGTAAAACATAAAAAGGGAAAGATGAGCTACATACTAAAACAAATTCTGCATGTAATTCAGCAGAATTAGTGACACTTTAAAGCAGGAGGGTGAGGAAAACAATAATATTAGTATGCTTTGTCTCCTTCTGTATTTTATAGGCTATATTCTTAGCTGATATAAATTGGCATCAGGGTTCTAATGGAAGTATGCTACTTACAGTGGTTGAAGATCTGGCCTTATAAGTATGCAAAAGTTGTGTATTTGATATATCTAGTTTATGTATATTAAACAAATGTGATACAATCTTTTATACGAGTGAATAAAAGGTTGTATTTCACAGCTGTCTCATCACTGGGCAATTCTATTTTGTTGCAATAAATATACAGATGGGAAATACAGATTTTTAAAGGGAAAGAAAAAGCCACAGGAACATTTTAAGGCCCAATTCTGTAGTCACTTTAAGCACATTATTTTCCATATGTTCCCTCATTTCAGTGGAGTTACTTACCCGAGAAAAGCCATTCACGTCTGTAAATGTTGGCAGGACATGGCATTTTGTTACAAATTACCACAGAGACTTGTTCCTTTAACAGTCTGGCAAATCTCATGCTTTTCTTTCCCCATGGCCTTCAGTGAAGAGAGGCCGTAAGAGGAAATTCCCTTGGCCATTTTTTAAATGTTAATGCTTCAGCTTCACTTAGAAAAATCTGTATGATATACTCAAATTAGCTCCTGTCTACACCACTCTCATGCTAAGGAAGAAGTCTCTAGGGGTTTTTTTAATAGCTGTTTCTTCAATGTAGTGCATGCCCTACCCAGAACTCACATGATACTTGGTTAAATCCAATTCTCCTATAGCCGAACATAAATAAACACAATTGGCATTTTTTAAGTAAATACTTTTGTTTACTTATTTTTTGAAAACCTTTTGGGTGTTTGTGAGATGTGCTGCTGTGACCCTCTCAAATACTGTCAATATATAGAATGGGCACAGCACAGGCACATACACATTTTTTCCCTCATGCCCACTTAGTTCTTCACCTCTTTGCTGAGACTGGCAGCCAGAGTACCGGCTGGTGTCAGTTGTGAAGTTGAGGTTGTAACACAGTTGTCACCAGCACTGCACTGCTCTTAAACTTTGTCTATAAGTTCTAAACTCTTTTGAGTAAGGACCTTTTCTTATCATATACCTACAAAGCAGCAAGATACTCCGCAAAAATAAATAATGACTCATTTCACAAATGTCAGTGAAAAAATTCCAGTTGATGGTAAAAATAAGAACCATTTGTCATTGTCTACCAGAGATGACTCTGAACTGTCGCTTAGAAGTGAAAAGTTCAGTATCATCATTCCCATAAGCTGCCTTATCTGTTACTGTTTATTTATATGTTTGTTACCAATCTGATCTCTATTATTATTATTATTAATGAAGCCCTCTGTTAGAACACATCAGCTATGTCAAATTCTAGCTGGTAACATGACATACTTGGCACCCCTCAGATCCAGGTCTTGTGTGACAGCTTGTCTTACTGTAGTGCCTCCAAAATACAGAGCTGTATCCTCTGCTAGAATTCCACATTCAGTACAAGCATTTCCACCTTCCAAGGACATCCATAAATCTGGTTTAATTTCTTCATTGTCAAAGCGTTCCTTCAGGAAAGTCTGTAAAAAAAGTATGTAGCATTTGAGCAACAACTAGAAGAATCATCCTGCTCTACAGCCTTTTTAGCTAACCCAGTTATAATTTACTTTTGAAGTATGTTTGAAATGTTCATAAAAATAGTAAAGTGATTTTTTTCCTCTCAGGAGCTAAGGTCTACTGCCTTTGTACAGACAGTAAATTTTATTTAAATTATATCACCTGATTGCATCCATCAGATGCAAGACCTAGACAGGTTAGACCAGTGGGCAGAAAACAACAGAATGCAGTTCAACAAGGAGAAATGCAAAGTGCTGCACCTAGGGAGGAAAAATGTCCAACGCACCTACAGCCTAAGGAATGACCTGCTGGGTGGCACGGAATTGGAAAGGGATCTTGGAGTCCTAGTGGACTCCAAGATGAACATGAGTCGGCAGTGTGACGAAGCCATCCAAAAAGCCAATGGCACTTTATCGTGCATCAACAGATGCATGACAAATAGGTCCAAGGAGGTGATACTTCCCCTCTATCGGGCGCTGGTCAGACCGCAGTTGGAGTACTGCGTGCAATTCTGGGCGCCGCACTTCAAGAGGGATGTGGATAACCTGGAGAGGGTCCAGAGAAGGGCCACTCGTATGGTTAAGGGCCTACAGACCAAGCCTTACGAGGAGAGACTGGAGAAACTGGATCTATTCAGCCTCCGCAAGAGAAGATTGAGAGGC